GGGAGGGGGGGGGGGGGGGGGGGGGGGGGGGGGGGGGCGGTGAGCAGCAAAGAAAAATGAAGCAAGAGTAAGGGAGAAAAGAGCAATAGCCAAAGGGTGGTTATCTTCTCTTTTTGTGATCGAGATGCCCTGGGTCTTAAGCAACTTAGTTTTCACAGCCCCTGTAAGTTGTTTGAGGGAGCAGCCACTTCTTCTTTTGCTTTGTCGGTGCTTGCCTGTTGGAGATATATATGTTCTTTCATTTTCACATATTTGTTAAAGTTGAATATGTTGACAGTTTTGGATAGAGACATGCCACAAAGCTCTTGGATCCAGTAGCAGGATCCTGGACAAATAGATTTGTCCACAAAGATGTTTCCATGTGTTGATTGACATGTTCACAGCTGTCCTCAATGGGTGTTAACTACCAAATCTTTCAAATTGTACACATGAAGTGTGTAGATTGAGTCTTCCAGGAATCAGACTCAGACAAAGATAGTGCAAAAAATTTATTGATGAGGAAACAATAGATTTGGGATAATTGTAATGAAAAAAAGTGTTTCTAATGTCTGTTGTTTTCAGAATAAGAAAGCCAAATGGCTAATAAACGTGAAAAAAAAATTCAAATTCATTAATAGTGAGGAAAATGCAAATTAAAATCATATTGGAATATTAGTTTATACCTAAGTTTTCAACCTTGACATTATTGACATTTTGAATGTGATAATTCTTTGTTGTGGGGGGCAGTCCTGTGCATTGTAGAATGTCAGAAACATCCCTAGTATCTGTCCACTAGATACCAGTAGCTACCCCCACCCTCAGTTGTGACAATCAAAACGTCTTCAGACATTTTCCAATGTGCTCTAGAAGGTAAAATAACCCCTGATTAAGAACCACTGTTTTATACCCATTTGACTGAAAAAATAGAAGATAGCCGTGACACCTGTTGCTGGCAGGAATGGCAGGAAAGTGAAACATTAAAGCACTACAGCCTCTTTTGGGGAAATGTGAGTGTTTTTGAAATTAAAAGTATATAAACCTTTTGATTTAGCAATCTTATTACTGAGACTATACCATAAAGGTATTTGTATGAAGCGACTTGCACTGTAAAGAACCATTCTACCCTCCTATTTTTTGTCTGTCAGTTTTTCATTTAATCATTGTAATTTGAATCTATTCCTGACTATTATTAAGTATTTAATAATTGTTTCCTCTCATTTCAGAACTCTCTTGATAGAGCCCAAGCAGCCAAGAACAAAGGAAACAAATATTTTAAAGCAGGGAAATATGAACAGGCTATTCAGTGCTATACGGAGGCTATCAGTCTGTGCCCTACAGAAAAGAATGTTGACCTTTCCACGTTTTATCAAAACAGAGCCGCTGCCTTTGAACAATTGGTAGGTATCCTAGGTTGTTTTTTCCTGTTCTTTTTGTTTCTCTTTATTTGTATAATGTTTCAGATAAGACTACTCAAATAAGTCTAATAAATTTTTTGAAGTCTTGAAATTACAGGATGTTTGTTTTGTTTTTATATCCTTTAATTACATTACTTTTTTTAAGAACATATTTTAGTTTTGTTATAAATATAATCCAAAGTTATATATATTAGATTTTGTAGAATTAGGTAATATAGAAAGCTAAAGTTTCTGGTGACCCTATTCTTCTCAACAGTTTGAGGCTGTTTCTTAAACTTTTTGTCTTAGTATATGCAACAGTAGCCAAAAGTAGAGGGGAAAGGCCTGGCCGGGTAGCTCAGTTGGTTAGTGTTGTCCCAATACGCCGAGGTGTGGGTTCGGTCCGTGGTCAGGGCACATAGAAGAGTCAGCCAGTGAATGCATAAATAAATGGAACAACAAATCAGTGTTTCTCTCTCTCTTGCTTATGCTCTGTCTCTCCTTCTCTCACTCAAATCAGTAAATAAATAATAATAAAGTAGGGGGGAAAAGACCAAAGATGAGTTCCTATTACACATATTGTTTGCAACATATTTTTCAGTTGCCATTATATCTTGTACAGCTTTTCATAGCATACATACATGTTTCATTCTTTTTATTTTTTATTTAAAAAATATTTTTATTGAGTTTTTAGAGAGAGAGGGAGAGAGAGAACATTGATTGGTTGCCTCCCGTACCCCGCAACCTGGGTTTGTGCCCTTGAACAGGAATAGAACAGGTGACCTTTTAATGCACGGGACGATGCTTGGCCCACTGAGCCACACCAGTCAGGGCTGCTTCGTTCTATTTAGAGGCTGCATGCAGTAACTGTTGTATGGTTTTATAGTGGAAAACATCTCTCTGTTGTTGAACATTTGGACTGTTCCCCTTGTCCCTGTTGTATTCAGTGCTCAGTAAATATTTTTGTAGTTTTTGCATACTTTTGTGAGCATAAAACTCTAGAAACAAATATAAAAAGAGAATCAATACCTGTTTTCAGCAGTAACGGTGAGCAGTGAGCCTCCTTGATTTCCAGTATTCTCACTGGCTCTCATTATCAGTAATATTTGCCACTCTGATAGGAGAAAAATACTGTCATTATTGTAATCTGCAGTTTTTGAGATGTTGCTGAAGTTGACCATCCTTTTCTGTTTATAGGGCATTTGTGTTCTCTGAATTTATTTGTTCAATCAAATTTTATTGACTGCCATATATGGAAGATTACTATGGTAGGAGCTAGGTCTGTAAAAGCAAACAACCATGCGTAGAACTCGAGGATAGTGAAACAGTGAACTGCTAAATAATATTTTGATAAGTGCTTTGAAAGGCACATGATTCTGTAATACAGGAATGACCGAAGATGGCATTGGTGCATAAAACATTGGGGAAGAGAGTTACAAATAGTGGGAACGGTATGTGTAATTGCTCTGAGGCAGGAAAAAGGTTGATGTGATTAATAAAGTTTAGAGGATTCAGGAGTATAAGATGAAATTGGGAGACCTAGCAGAGGCCAGATCAAGGAAAGCCTTGCAGTGGTGAGTTTGGATTTGATTCCGAGTGTAGTGGGAAATATTTATGGGCTTTAGGTAGGGCAGGAGCGTCATCTATTGCTTTTGTTGTTCTGTCAAGACTATATTGGAGGGAGGCAAGAGCTGAGGCAGGAGACTAAGTAAGGATGTTGTAGTAGCCTAGGTGAGACACGAAGGAAAGCTGAAGACCAGTAGCACTGGGCGTGAAGGATGAAGAGAAGCAGGGATTTTTAATAATAGTGGGTTGGGGAAGGAATAAGACAGCTAAGTAGTCAGTTGACTTGAGAGAAATGCCTCTATTTTAGGAGTGTGGTTTGGGCTAAAGCAGTAAATTTGGGAATCTAATTTTAGATGTTCTATAATGCCAGGACAATAGATGTGATCACCTGGGGAGAGAGATGAGGCCTTGAGGATTCCAGCATGTAGAGATTAGGTAGAGAGGGGAAATTCAGTGAAGGAAATTGTGAAGGAGCAGCCTGTGAGGTAGGTGAAATCAGATGGAGTGGCAACTCTTTGAAGTTGTGGCAGTAAAAAGGAGCTGAGGAATGGGGTAAAAGCTTCAGGGATTTATGGAATCAATGGAGGGTTTTTAAAAGATGGAAAATCCTAGAGCAAGTGTTTTTATGCTCATGGGAATGATTCAGTAGAGAAGCAGCATGATGGAGAGGTAGAGTGGCTAGCAGAGTGAAGTCCTTGAATGGGAGAGGGTGGATCCATAAGTGGATCCTTTGATGAATAGGGATACTGCCTCAGTTCTAGCAGGAAGGAAGGAGATGATAAGAGCACATAGATACAAGTAGGTTTGTAGATTTGGTGGCAGAAAGATGGCCTAAGCATGTCCTTTGCCTGTTTTTAAAAATCAGGTTGCTTATCTTTATCATAGATATTTGTATAAGCAATTGTAATATATTATGGATATTAATGCTTTGGATGTACAGGTACCGAGAATGTTTTTTTCTATCGTGGGACTCTTAACACTTAGCCTATTAAGTTTGGAAAACTGATTTCTGTCACACAGTGCTTCCTTTAATGCGACTTTTTTTAATACTTTCAATTGCAGCAAAAATGGAAGGAAGTGGCACAAGATTGTACAAAGGCTGTTGAACTTAATCCCAAGTATGTGAAAGCTCTCTTTAGACGTGCAAAAGCCCATGAGAAGCTAGACAATAAGAAGGAATGTTTAGAAGGTGAGGATATTTTTGTGTTTCCAAATGAAAATTATTAACGGCTTTGTAGTCATTGGTAAATTTATATGAAACTCTGCCTGTGAGTAGAGAAGTCAGTTTTATTTAAAGGTTCAGCTCTTCCCAAATTGGGACTTTTTTTTTCTGGTTTAATTTGAGATTGCTGATATTTGAGTATTGTCTCTGTTCCCAATTATGGAATTAAATAAGTATTAGGATGTGGAGTTTACACACTGTCCATTTTAACTTGGCAACTACTGAGTGTCAGTGTAATTCCATGAATAAGAAATCAGAAAATAGGTTTTAGTGATAGTTTTTCGAAGATTCCACATGTTTTCATTTAATATCCTTTATAAATATGAAATAATTTTGAGGTGAATCATTAAAGAAAACATTTTTCTGCCCTTGGTATTTTTCAAACATTGTTTTATACCCAATTAGAAATTATGTAATTGGTACAAAGCATGAAGTGAATTTTCCATTCTTAGTAAATATTGTAAATAGATATTCTGCTATCAAAACTAATTAGAGTATATAGTTTTAAAGTACATTCTTCTGGTTCTCATGGAGCTAAACCAAAGTGTAATTTCTATGATCTAAAAGTGCTTTCCACTATGCATTTAAATCCTACATAATTAAAACCATAAGTATTCAGAATATTTAGCCATAATTATTTTTAATAACATTATTATTTAAAAGAAAAACTTACAGAAACCTGGATTACCAAGTAAGAGTGGTTTAGAGAACATTTTAGAAAAATTTGAAGTTTTATGTTGTCATGAACTTTGGTGGTGGGGGATAGGAGTATTGCTTTAGAAAAGAGAATTCTGAGTTTTGAGTGAAATCTTGAAGTTATTAACATATATCATAGACAGGAGGTTAAGTGGATTTTAATAGGAGAAATGGGATGGGAAAAAGACATTGATACTGGCACTCGCCACGCTGTCAAGGTTGCATAACAGCAGAAAGACTTGTTTTAGGGAGGAAGGATTTAGAATTGTAAGAAACTGAGTTCAGAAAAAGTGAACAGCCATTGTTTTAGTACTTCGAATGAAAGTTTGAGAGATTAAGGAACCACTGATCTTTTAAATTTCAAACCAATGTATTTTGAGCTATAGCATAACAGATAAAAATGGTATTTTGAAGTAGATTTGATTGAGAGCTGTAGCGAGATGGCTCTGGAAACAAGGAATAACTCTGAGGCCTATAAAAAAGACCACATGTGAGAGAGCCTCATTATATTGATTTAGCCTATAGTTAGTTACTGGCCTGGAGAGAATGTTCCTGGATTTCTTGTTTTATTTGCTATGTAAAACGTTAGTGCAGTGAGAAACATCACAAATCATGCACTGCAGTCTCTCACTTCCCAGATGAGGAAAGTGAATCTCATAGAAGTGAAGTGACTTTCTGAGCTTTGAGTTTAGTCATAGAGTATATAAAACTAAAGTTTAAGAATCAGTTTATTGGAAATGAAATTGATATCCACATAAAGCTATGAATTTGCAGTAGTTTGGCTTTCTGTGGTAACACTGCCCATTTGATGCTGCTAATCATCTTTGCAATAATGTTATACTTACTCTTGTTTTTCCATCATTCTAGATGTCACTGCTGTGTGTATATTAGAAGGGTTCCAAAATCAACAAAGCATGCTGTTAGCTGATAAAGTTCTTAAACTTCTTGGAAAAGAAAAAGCCAAAGAAAAATACAAGGTAAATTAATCTGAGTTGGTTAAGAGAGGGGAAGTGTACACAGTGAGTGGTCATTTCTAATTTATATTGCTTAAACTTGGACACGATGGTAATGATAACAACTGTGATTAGATCTGGATTATGTTTGTTTTTCCTTTAAACTTGGACTCTTGTGGTTTATCTTTTTTTAAGAAGAATGTAGGCTTTGTCCAGTGTTGCACCTGGAGAGTGTTGAAAGAATTCATCTATATTAGGAATTGCCACACATGGCCTATAGGCCAAAGCCAGTCTGCCATTTGTTTTTATAAATAATATTTTATTGGAACTCGGCTGCTTACACATTATTTTTGGCTGCTTTAAGCTACAACAGCAGTCGAGTGGTTGTGATAGAGGCTGTTGCAAATATTTACTAAATCTTTACTCTCTGGCCTTTAATGGAAAAAAATTGCCAATTTCTGTTCTATATCATTAAAATTGCACCATATAAGTAAGTGGATGTTAGTTTAAGCAGTCAGTAACAGATGGTTTAATTCAAGAAACATTTATTGAACAAAGGTCCGTGGTGGGCTTTTTTTTTTTTTTAAATGTTTATTGATTTTAGAGAGAGAGGAAGGGAAAGGGAGACAGACAGACAGAAATCAATGAGAGAAACATCCACTGGCTGCCTCCTGCATGCCCCTACTGGGGATTAAGATTGCAACCCAGGTATGTGCCTTGACCAGGAATCAAACTGGCAACCTTTTGGTGCATTGGATGACGCTGAACCCACTGAGCCACACTGGTCAGGGCCATGGTGGGTATTTTAGAAGGGTGGTTACAAAGACATGGCCCTTGTCCTTATAGAATTACAATTTTGTGAGGGAGACCATAATAAATATAAAAGGCATGATATGGTGAACTGTCACAGAAGGATATGAGCAGAGTGCTGTGAGTACCACAGTCATCACTAAATATCACTAGAGATTTTCTGCTAAATTTCAGTAATTTAGCAATTGTTCCTCTTTTCTTTAATAACTTGCTTTTCTTTAGAATTAATTTAATGAGCCGTGTGTATTTTTAACTTACTATTTTCAAATATTAGTGGAGTTAAACAGTTAAAACAGGTTTCTTCATGGCAGGACTTTCATGTGCGTGGCTGTGTTGTGAATCTTTAAGAGGAATACAGCTGTAGTGGTTCTCAGTCTCTTTAAACTAAGGATACTTTTTTCTCCTTGAGCATTTTATAGAACTGGTGTTCCTCAAAACACTTTGTAAAATATCTTGTTAGGGTTTCACAAATTGAACCTTGAAAGCACCTAGTTTCCTTACATAATGTTATTGTTGAGGGATTGTACTGGTTGAATTGCAGGTAAAAAAATACAAATTGCCCTATACTTACATAGGTCCCGAATCATTTTCCATGTGTACTTTCTAATCTGTTTGATGCCACTTTGTAAATCACAAAATACTTTTAATATTATTGTGTTTATTTTTACAACAACCCTGTAAAATAAATAAAGCAAGTATTTTTATTGCTATTTTAGAGATGAGAAAACTGAATATGATCAGTGCAAGGTCACATAGCTAATACGTGGCAGAGCTAGAATTTATATCTTGTTCCTTTGATACTTAAGTCCATTAATTGTAACACCATCTTCATTTTAAATTTGTAACTCTGAGGAGGTGGTAATAGCTTCATTTCTAAGCTGAAATACAGGGTGTCCCCAAAAAATGTATACACACTTTGGGTAATTATAAAGGCAGTGTTTATTAAAATATATTTCATTTTCAAAATGTAATAGATCAACTGTTAAAGTATGTGTACATTTTTTGGGACACCCTTTAGAAAACTTAAGACACTTTACTCAGTCTCTAGTAAATACTATTTAAATTTCTATTTAGGCTTTTCCCCTAAAGTGGTAAATGATTGCCACTCTATATTCCTACTCGAGATCTTTAGTGAAATACTGAAGTTAGTTTGTCACTTGATGGGTCACCATTTGACTTAAAATATTTATTTGTATAACCCTAACCTTAAGTTAAACACACTGCCTCTCCCCAGAGAGCACAGGGGTAGGGTTTTCCTTTGATTTCCTGTTCAGCTTTCCTCCCCAGTGCATCTCTCCTAGATCAGATCATTTACTTGCATAAGCAGATTTCTTTCCCCCTCCTTCCCATACAGATATTAAATCTTCCAAAATAACAGAAATGATATTTATATACACTTTAAAATACTGCATTTTCATTTAAAAAATTTGGGTTCAATTTTGTATGTAAAGGAGCCAGTATATATTATGAGAGCCCTTAGATTTTTATTTCCTCTTCTCTCTTCCTTTAAAACTTGATCGTCTTAATTGTACTATAAGGAGAAACAAAATACTCCTATAATTATGAGTAAGGTTGCCATGCCAGAAAGTAATAATTCAAACAGGAAATGTGATTTCATTCTGGCTCAGTGGCACTTACTGTAATAGAGATCTTCAGATGCGTTACAACTAAAGGACAGACGAAGTGAAGGTCTGTGGCTGTGGACTTAACATTTCAGTGCCTGTGTAAGACGTGGTCGAGTAGTAACTTGAGGTGTTAGTCTTCTAGGACAGAGACCAGGAGGATCATTTTAACTCAGCAGTTACTTGCCTCCTGAGTTCCATACTTTGTTGTTTTACTTTTAGTGAGTGGTTCTAAGAGTTCTTGATGTTTTACATCTTTGGAGAGGAGAAAGGCTTTCACTTAAAATCTGTATTGAGCAGCTGGGACTGACAGCTTTACCATTCCTGCTGTCCTATGGTATGGAGCCTAATATTCCTCAGTTATTTAAAAAAGAGATTCCAATTTTTTTAAGTCATTTTCAGCGTTCTACAAAGGTATCTGCTTTTTGGTTTGTGTTTTCTCATTTTGCTGTGTTTAAACATAATTAAATTTCAGAACCGTGAACCTCTGATGCCATCTCCACAGTTTATCAAATCTTACTTCAGTTCTTTCACGGATGATATAATTTCTCAACCCATGCTTAAAGGAGAGAAGTCTGATGAAGATAAAGACAAGGAAGGGGAGGCTTTAGAAGTGAAAGAAAAGTAAGTATGTTTGGGTTGGGATTTTTTTGTTTTTTGGTGTATTTTGGGCTTGTTTTTTTGTTTTGTTTTGTTTTGTTTTGTTTTTAAATATATCCTTATTGATTTCAGAGAGAGGAAAGGAGAGGGAGAGAGAGAGATAGAAACATCAGTGATGAGAGAGTCATTGATCGGCGGCTGCCTCCTGCACGCCCAACTGGGGATGGAGCTCACAACCTGGGCATGTGCTGACCAGGAATTGAACCTCAATCGCCTGGATCCTAGGTCAACACTCAGCTGCTTACCCACGCCCGGCCGGGCTCTTTCGGGGTTTTTGCTGCCATAGTGCATAAATGGGGCTCTGAATTATCTCAGGAAAATCTGTCTATATAGATTATAAATACAATAAAAAGTATGTATCATGATGGCATTATTGTAATACTTATCTTCTCGTGTGTCTCTTACACCCCGAGAGATACTTCAGATGATCAGCTGTATTCGAATAGGAGCACTAACTTTGAAAATTATTATGTAGTTGGATATCCAAATGGTTTAGTGCAGGGAAGTTTATAATTTATAAACTGTGAGGTGCTTAGGAATACCCAAAAGTGACTTCAAGGTTTCTTCCTGCTTACCTAGGAAAATGCCATTCTTTGGGCTTCTTTGTGTCTGCTCTTGTAGAGAGCAGTATGGGATGCCATGTTCACAACTAGAGATCAGTGATAAAATCTAGTACATAAGCCATCTAGCCTGTTTATCTACTTATATTTATCAATACTTGTGTTTTGCTGTTAAGGCTAGCTGTCCTCTCTAAGAAAAGGTACAATATTGTGACCAACATGACATTTTTAAATGAATTTGGAAGAAAAGGGAACGTTATTTCCATAGCAGAGCATAGTTTTGCATCTATAACATATTAGAAGGTTTAAGGAAACAGATTGCTTTTTTCTTTTTTTTTCTCTTCTGTGTCCCTTAGCCAGCTTTTTATTTTTTATTTGAATTTATTGGGGTGACATTGTTTAATAAAATTATGTAGGTTTTAGTGTACAATTCTATGATACTCATCTGTATATTGTATTGTGTGGCCACCACCTCAAGTCATGTCTCCTTCCATCACCGTTTATCCCCCCTTTACCCTCTTCTACCTCCCCCACTTCCCTTTTCCTCTGGTAATCACCATGCTGTTGTCGATGTCTACGAGTTTTTTGGGTTTTCCTTAATCCCTTCACCTTTTTCACTTAGTCCCCCAGCCCCCTTCCCTACCAACATTTGTCAGTCTGTTCTCTGTATCTTATGAATCTGTTCTGTTTTGTTTGTTAGTTTATTTTGTTCATTAGATTCCACATATAAGTGAATTCATATGGTGCTTGTCTTTCTCTGACTGGCTTATTTCACTTAGCACAATACTCTTCAGGTCCAGGAAACAGATTGCTTTTACTTTGTATCTCCCAAGTTTTCCAACATTGTTGGCCATTTTTTAAGGGAGAGGATACTATGTGTAATTATACCAAGATGTTCAAATTTTAGTTAGTTGATACTCAGCCTTTTCAAAAAATTATATTTGGGAAGTAAATGTTTAAGATGATGCCAATAATTACCTCTTCTGGTTAGGAAAAAAAGTCCTTGTCTCAGAAAAACTACAATGAAGTTAATACCATTATTCTAAAACCAATATTGGGAGATGGCAGGACATAGCTACCTCTCACCAGAACACTAGCTGGAACTAGACCTAAGTTTACTTTTTTGAATTCTGTTTTACTGTGAGCCTTAGCTTCATCATTTTTTAACTGGGGCTGATAATAATTACCTTTGAGAGTTACTGTGAGCTTTAAAGGTTATGTTTGTAAACATCTAGCACGTAGGTTCTCAATAAGAAGGAACCAGGTTCTCAATAAGAAGGAACCATTATTACTTCTATTCTGATTTAATAATTATGTTTTCTTTGCCTGGTGACCCAAGGAACAAAAGTATAGTATAGGGAATATTAGAATGTAATTGTAGGAAAGGTTAGCACAGAATTTGTAAGATTTTGACCAACAACTTTTAAGTCATTTGTCAGTTTACTCAGAGTATATAACAAATGAAATGAGAAAATGTACTTTAATTTACAGTACTTTATATTTGTAAGACCCCTTAAAGCTCATCTAGTATACATTCCCTTTCAGGTCAAAGAAACCACTTCTGCAAGCATCCTTGATAATAGTCATCATCTTAGAAGAAAAATTATATTGTGGTCACTGCATTTTAAGAAGTAGGGAAGGGGCCCTGGCTGTGTGCTCAGTGGTTAGAGTGTTGGCCTATACAGTGAAGGGTCACAGGTCCGATTCCTGGTCAAGGATACATCTGGGTTGCAGGTTCCGTCCCTGGCTGTGGTCTGGGTGAGTGTGGGAGGCAGCCAGTCAAAGATGTCTCTCTCACATCATTGTTTCACTTTCTCTCTCTTCCCCTCCTTCCCTTCCACTCTCTCTAAAAAAATCCATGAAAAAATATATCCTCGGGTAAGGATTAACAAAAATAAATAAATAAAAAGAAGTAGGGGCCCGTCTGGGCATGACTCAGCGGTTAAACATTGACCTAGGATCCAGGAGATCATGGTTTGGTTCCAGGTCAGTGGACATGCCCAGGTTGCAGGCTTGATCCCCAGTCAGGGGTGTGCAGGAGGCAGCTGATCAGTGACAACTCTATCATTGATGTTTCTATCTCTTTTTCTCCCTTCCTCTCTGAAATCAATAAATATGTATTTAAAAAAAAATAGGGAAGGATATATTTTCTTATATGTTTTTACTGATTTTGTAGAGAAGGGAGAGGGAGAGAGAGAAATATCAGTGATGAGAGAGAATCATCAGTTGGCTGCCTCCTGCACGCCCCGTACTGGGGATTGAGCCTGAAACCCGGGCATGTGCCTTGACTGGGAATAGGATGGTGACCTGGTTCATAGGTCGATGCTCAACTGCTAAGCGACACCAGCTGGGCAAGAAGGGTATTTTTTTAAAGTCCTTTTTTTTATGGAAGAATCTACCTTTTAATTTGCTTCTTTGATATTTCCACCTATTCCTTCTAGGTCTGTTCTTACAGGTAAAACACAACTTCTGGATGAAAGCCCTTCAGATGTTTCTCTGCTTCCAGTCTGCTCCCTTGCTCATCTTTAGAAAGTACAGCGTGGGTCACACTTCTTCCCTAGGCTTCTCTGGCCCTGAGCTGACCCACTTCCTATTTTTCTATCCTTTCTGTTAGTCACAAAGTAACTGTTGAGTGCCACAGATGAGAAGGTGGATAAGACTTGCTCTCGTCTTTTCACATGTTTAAATGTAGAAGCCTGGGCAGTAACCCCAGGTTTCTGTCACTGACTCTGCTGTTTCCTTTTTAAAAACTCTACAAGGCGCCTGGCTGGGCGTGGCTCAGCGGTTGTGCGTTGACCTAGGATTCAGGAGATAGGGGTTCGATTCCTGGTCAGGTTACATGCCCAGGTTGTGAGCTTGATCCCCAGTCGGGGGCATGCAGGAGGCAGCCGATCAATGACTCTGTCTCATCATTGATGTTTTTCTCTCTCCCTTTCTCTCTCTCAAATCAATAAAGATATATTTTTTAAAACCCCCAAAAAACAAAACTCTCCAAGGCATCCAGAAAATCCCAGTCTGCACCAAAACCCATTACCCTCCTGCCCTGTTGTAGTCCCACAGTGGCCAACTAGCTTGTGAAGAAGAAACAGACATTTGCTGGACTCAGTTATACTAAGTGTGGCAGGTTTCAGCATTTCATCTTCTAGTAAATGATTTCCTATGTTTGTTTTTATTTTCAGTTCTGGATATTTAAAGGCCAAACAATACATGGAAGAAGAAAACTATGATAAGATCATAAGTGAATGCTCAAAAGAAGTAGATGCTCAAGGCAAATACATGGCAGAAGCATTATTACTACGAGCTACCTTCTACCTGCTTATTGGCAATGCCAATGCAGCTAAACCAGATTTAGATAAGGTCATCAGTTTGAAAGAAGCTAATGTGAAGGTATGTTTTAAAAAATGTCTTTTTGTATGTATGCAAAATTAATGAATAAAAATGAGGCTTTTTAGATATGTTTTGTAAAATTTTTTATGTTTCAATTGCCATTCTCAAAAAGGCTACTTTTGTTTTGGAAGGAACTATATACCTAGTGATGATTGAGTTGGTGTAGTGAAACTACGATAAAAATATCGGTGATGTTTATTTTTAGCTAGGAAAGAAAAAAAATTTTTTTCTGGTAGCTTTAGCTTCCCCTTGTAGCATTGCCTATGGTAATGGACTATATTTGGGTAGGGATAATGGTGTAGGCAATGCTGTAAGTAACATGCAATATGTAGTACACGGTTATAAAGTGCATTTAATAAAAATAAGCACATTTAATAATATACTCTGAAAGATTATATGATGATGGCAGTAATTTCTTATTTTTAACATGAAGGGGGGAAAAAGGTTCTGAAGATATGATATAGTTACTGAAATCTACCATAAGTTTTTGCAGTTGTGTCATTGGAACATCTTTTCATTTTCTAAGTGTTCTCATGTGTATGTAATTTTCATAATTAAGATTGGGGTGTCTTTTGAATTATGTGAGCGCTCTACTCAGTGTAACATGACTGGACTTAGCCACCAGCTAACTCTGTTCCTTACCAGTTTGTTCACTCTGTCCTGTTTCCTTATGGAATTAAATAAACTCTCACTTTTCCACCTCCAAATGAATCATTCCTATATAAAAGTTGTTACCAAGGCCTAATTATTTGTTAACAAATAACTAAACTTCTTGTAAACAAAAGTAATTATAACTAAGTATTTTAAAAAGTTCCTTTTAAAATGAGATTTTGTAATTGAAGATACCCTAGTAATATTATCTTTAATTTTATTTCCTACTGATTGCAGATATTTTCTGTTACGTGTTTTTGTTCTAATTGTGGGGTCAGTCTTGTTCCTTTCATTCAGGAAGACATGTAATTTTGTCTTGAAAAGGGGTTTTGGAGAAGAAGGCTATATCTTGCTTTATAATCATGACTTTTTGTTTTAATGGCAAGTAGTAATGATGTCTAGCATATGCCCTGTACAAAAATGAACTCAAATGGATCAAAGACCTAAGTGTAGCCCAGCCAGCGTGGCTCAGCGGTTGAGCATCAACCTACGATCCAGGATATTGTGGTTCGATTCCTGGTCAGGGCACATGCCTGAGTTTCAGGCTCGATCCCCACTGTGGGTTGTGCAGGAGGCAGCCGATCAATGACTCTCTCTCATCATTGATGTTTCTCTCTCTTTCTCCCTCTCCCTTCCTCTCTCTTAAATCAATAATATATTAAAAAAACAAAACCTAAGTGTAAGAGCTAAAACTAAAACTCTAAGGAAAACATGGGAGGAAATTTTCATTACCTTGGATTAGATAGTGGTTGCTTAGATCTGACACCAAAAGAACAAGCAACAACAACAAAGAAAAGACTTCATCAAAATTTAAAACTCTTGATTGAAAGGATGCCATCAAGACAGAAAACACATTGCACAGAATGGGAGAAAATACAAATCATAGATCTGATAAGGGGCTCGTATTCAGAATATATAAAGGACTCTTCTTACAAAAGCAACTCAATTTAAAAACAGGTGAAGGATCTGAATAGGCATTTGCTCTAAAGAATATATAAAAATGGCCAGTAAGGACATGGAAAGTTGCTCAGCGTCATTAACTCTGTTAGGAAAATTCAAATCAAAATTACAATGAGATGTCACTTTACACCTACTAGGATGGCTATAGTGAGAAGGAAGGACAATTAACAATATTGGTGAGGTGTAGAGAAATTGGAAATGTCATACATTGTTGGCAGGAGTGTAAAATAGTAAAAATCCTTTTGGAAATTAGTTTGGGAGTTCATCAAAAAGCTAAACAGAGTTACCATATGACCCAGCAATTCCTCTCCTAGACATGTACCCAAGAGGATTGAATATATACGTCAGCACAAAAGCTTGTATATAAATGTTCACAGCAGCATTATGTATAATAGCCAATAAGTGGAAGCATCTCCATTGTTCATCACCTGACAAGTAGATAAAGAAAAGTGCTAATAGAATAATATTCAGCCATAAAAAAGAAGGAAGTACTGATACATGCCACAACACAGAACGTCAAAAACATACCAAGTGAAAGAAGTCAGACACAAAAGACTATTCCATTTTTATGAAATGTCCCGAGTAGACAAATTCATAGCAAGTAGATTGATGGACTAGAGGGGAAATGAGGAGTGACTGCTAATGTGTATAAGGTTTCTTTTGGAGGTGAAGAGGTTCTGGAGTTAAATAGTGGTGATGGTTGCATAACTCTGTGAATATACTTAAAAATGATGGAATTTAAATGGGTGAGCTTTTTGGTATGTGAATTGTATCTCAATACAGCTGTTTTTTGAAAAAAACTAAATTGGAATAAAAATAGTAATGAACCTTTTCTCATTTTGGGGATGTAGCTTCGAGCAAATGCACTCATCAAAAGAGGCAGCATGTACATGCAACAGCAGCAGCCTTTGCTGTCTACTCAGGATTTTAACATGGCTGCTGACATCGATCCTCAAAATGCAGATGTTTATCATCACCGAGGACAGGTACATCTATTTACTTACTAAGAGTTCTGATCTTTTGATAGAGGAATTTGATACCATTTTTGAGAATGTCTTAAAGTTTTCTTATATCACTTCTGATAGCTCTGAACAAAGTATCACGGTGCTTTACAGTTTGTTTTAGCATTTATTTTAGTCCCCTCTTGAACATTTGTCCTTATAATTTTAGTATTTACTTATTAAAAAGGAGAAAAGGAAGGCTACAAATGTTGGGTTGCCAGGTCAGGTTTGTTTTTCATGTGTTTCTGGTTCATAGATTTTCAATGAGTAGAACATTAAAAGCATTTAATGAGCATTTTGAGTTAATGCTAGAATCAACACAATGGTTTTTGTGGGCTGCTTGGTGTCAAGAAGTATTTAGCCTGGACTATCCAGACAGTACAAAAAAAACCTCTTCTGATTAGAGATTTACAATCTGCATATTTTTTTTTTTAGTAAAAAATATATATAAAGTGAAGAAAACAGTTCCCAATTTTAGCCTCATCTGGGGAAAGCATGGCTTTGTAATCTGCTTGTTTAGCACCACTTGGTGGAATGCATTATGGTGGAAAGTATGGGCTATCTATACAATAACCGAAAAGCTGAAGTTCTTTTTAATGGAGAATTGTAGCAAATATTTCTGTCTGAAGGGTTTGAAGAAGTGTTGAAATTCTTAAAATTCCTGACATTTTGATCTTACTGGTAGCATCTTAAGATTAATTTGAAAGATAATTATTCGATGTCTGATTTGCTTTGAAATTTGAAAGTACAGAAATGTCTGCTTTTCTAGAAGAAAGGGTTTCTTGCTTTTTAAGAAATTGGACACTAGTTTTAAGTTTTAGAAGCTTTCCTTTAAAATTATAAGATTTTCTAGTTCACTGTTTCTAGAAAGTAATTCTATATTGAATAGTTACTACATGCGTAGCATTTTACTTAGCTGTGATAAGAGACAGTACGTACTTAACTGGTGGTGCACCTATTTTGAGTTGTGTTTTTTTTTTTCTTAGCTGAAAATACTGCTTGATCAAGTTGAAGAAGCTGTGGCAGATTTTGATGAATGCATTAGATTAAGACCCGAGTCTGCTCTGGCACAAGCTCAGAAATGTTTTGCACTGGTAGGTTCTACTTTCTTTTGTATATTCCTAAACATCATTTTTATTTCCCCATTTTTTAACAAAAATGAGTATCTCATTGTCTACAAAATGTCTTTTTCTTTTTCCCCCAAAGGGGGAAAACATGTTAGTTTAGAGAAATAGAAGTGTATGCATGTATGTTAATTAAGGTACTGCTCCTGTATTTCTCTTGTATTCTGAGTTCATCTTGATAGATGTTTATCCCTGATTGTTATGTTCCCCTGAATAGCACTGCTCTTCCTGGCCCTTTACCATCAACTAGCACAGAGAACAAAAGCAGTTTGAAGGAATAACTGCAGTCATGACACCACATTGTGCTTTCATCTCACCTTTGTAAAGCTGTTAATAATCAGAAACACAATGCTGAAAATCAAGTAAAATAAGTCCATTTATAGTGAAATGAGGTACTTCCAGTTAGCTCTTGTCAACATAAGAAGTATAAGAAATGTCCAAACCTGTAAGAATTTTTATGAGTTTATTTGAGCCAAGCTGACAGTTGCCAGGAAACAAAATCTCAATGGACTGGGAAAATGCTCTGGAAAATTGCACTTTTGCACCTTATTTTATACGTTACAATCAAAAGAGGTGTAAGTCAGCTACGTGAAATCCATTGGTGATAGGTTAAGGAGGCCGGAGAAAACAAATGGGGAAGGGGAAGAGGGATGGGGGGAACCTCTGGGATTGGATAAAAAGTAAAATGATAGACCCATACTACTTTTACATAGGTGAGTACAGGATAGTTAACAATTAATATGATAACAATAACCATGAGAGGATTTGTAGTATCTCACTGCTCTGGTGCAGTGATTGTGCTTTGAGGGGTCCTGAAAAAAGGAAATTATTTTGTTATTGTAAAGGATGTTTATCAGGTATGTTATCCCAGATGCAAAGACAACAGGCAGGCTCAGTTAAGATGAAGATTGACCTTTGTTAAGGAAAAATACTGCCCTAGGACATCACAACCCACCATAAACTGCTTTTAGTTAGTTTTAATTTCAGACCATCCTATGTGGTTGGTTACTTTAGGTCTCTGAGTTTGTAAGGCCATCATGCAGGCCTCCCCTGAGCTTGTCAGGTTTAGTATGTGGGCCCTTTTTGTCTACACTATAGCTTGAGTTTTAAAAGAATTTTCCTTTTAAGTAAATAAATTGGGTCACAAACATTTACAGTTATGTGCCGCTTAACAGTGAGGATGTGCTCTGAGAAATGTGTCCTTAAGCTATTTTGTCACTGTGCGCACAGAGGGCACTTACGCAGACGTAGGGGGCATAGCCTGCTTCCTGCACACCCGTGCTGTGTGGTGTAGCCCGTCCCCTAGGCTACGGACCTGTACAGCAGGTTGTTGCACAGAATGGTGCAGTTAAGAGACTCAGTAAATACGGGTGTGTGAGGCTGCTGCCTGTGTAACAGCAGACTGTTTATAAAAGTAGAAAGTACGTGCTAAGATAACGATACAGTGTTGAGTTCGTAAAGTGATATATAAATCAGTAACATAGTCATTTATTATCAGTATCAAGTATCATGTGCTGTACATAATTGTATATGCTATACTTTTATACTACTGGCAGAACAGTATGTTTGTTTATACCAGCATCACCACAAACGTGAGTAATGCATTGCGTCGTGATGTTAGGATGGCCAAGTCACTAGGCAGTAGGAATCTTTCAGCTCCATTATAATCTTATGGGACCACCGTTGTAAATGCCATCCGTCCTGTGTATTATAGATGAAAACTGGTATTAGATGAAGGAACGTTCTAACACTTGTAGTAAAGTGATAATAAATTAGGTTTAAAACTACCCCATGTATATGCAAAGTTAAGTTCTGACACGTTAGACTCTAGACTCTGCCCCAGTCTAGAGTATTGAACATCTTGGAATTTGTATAGTGGCCGCGAAGTCCTAGTTGCACGTAGCCTTTGGATCCCCTGCTGCTGAGCTATTTCCTTGGAACTCTTTTAGATGCAGCAAGTTATATTAGCAGATCACCTGCCTTTCTGGAAATATTTATGTAATTTTGTGTGACTTTTGTAATATGTTAACATTCTGTGAGTTTTGAGTTCTTGATTTGACAGGCCTGTTTTGATTTTTTTAAACAGTATCGCCAGGCATATACAGGAAACAATTCTTCACAAATCCAAGCAGCTATGAAAGGGTTTGAAGAGGTCATAAAGAAATTCCCCAGGTGTGCTGAAGGCTATGCGCTATATGCCCAGGTAAATGTAATTTTTCATGTTTTTTTTTAGTTGCTAGTCCTTTTTAAAAGATCTGTCCTTGTGTGGTGAATCCCAGTAGGAAGTCAGAACCCGGTGCTTTCCTGGTGGCAGCTTCTGTGGAAGCAGATGGCCTTGTTCCTTCTTTGAGGATCTGGGCCCCCAGGATGGTCCTGAACCCCCTCAGGAGGGGCTCTTATGTTATGCAGTTTGAAAACTGTGACCCTATACAGTGGGGTCATAATATGGGGAAGCTTAAGCAGAGTATTTCCCTCATGTTTTCATTTGGATTGGAATTGTAAAATTTAATTAACTGAGGAAATTTTACTGTGTTCAGTTGGAGGGGAAAATGTCTATCGAAAGGGTTTTTTTTCTGTTTTGGACACTGTCCTTTTAAATTATTAGATCAGCTCTAACTGTTCATTTTAACTCCTCTTTGGTTTGTCTAAAATTCTTGGTCTAGGATAGAAGCTTTGGGAACTATGATTTAAATTTGAATTATTTTCACTTTTTAATTGTAGTCTGAAATCTTTGAAAACTTACTAATTTTATATCAGCCATTTAAATGAAAATGATTAGCATCTTATAGCCACAGTTAGACTTTTCCTCCAACTAAGTGATTTCTGAATGACTGTTTTCTCGTAGTCTTTAAGTTAAAAGTTGCTTTTGGTATCTGCCTTAACGTCCATCTCAATACTCTGTATGATTTCTTTTCTTTTTTTGAATCATTATTCCAAAGAAATGTCACACTTCAGGAATCGGAATTTAAAAATGAATATCTGTGGTTTCTACCTCCAAACCATTCCTAAGGCTGCTTGTTTTTCTTGTAAAGTTCCTTCGTGCTGTCTTCAGTCAAGTTAAAGAAAAAATTCCACGGGGTGGAACTCTTTCTGAGGATTTATTGTGACTGTGAGAAGACTGATTCATGTTGGATCTGTTCATGAATGGTCCTACATATCAGTGTATTATCAGAGATTGAAATTGTCTAATTCTCTGGGGTATGAAGTAAACACAGAAGTTCTTTAACTTCAGAAGTAATCTTATCTATTGTCTTTGTTCTTACAGTTCCTAGGCAGGGTGGTGATAAAAAAACAACAACGAAACATTGGTTGCTGACCACCTGCTCTATTTAATTAATTGTGAAGGCATGTACTGTATAAAGTTTTATAGAATGTATGGAAGCATTATAATTGTGCGGCCTTTGTATTGAATAGGGACACTTGTGTTTACGCCTTTTATTAGGAACAAAACAGGTGACACCACCTTCGGCATCACTGAAATGAAGTTTAAAAAGGCTTTTTTGATGCAGATTTCTATAAGCAGCGAAAAGAGCAAAGGCCACTGAATACCTTTTTAAAGAAACCAGTATTAGGAACAGCTCTCAAAGAGCTTTCTTAATCGCACATTTCCCTGTCACTGCGCTACCTTCAAAATAGCGTTTGGCTTACTTGAGCTATCTTTATTAGCACTGGTATCAATGCATTCTGTTTGCACTAAAATGTCTATCCTTTGGTTTCTCTTCTTCCTTTTGCTTCACTATATATATAGTTATATGTAACTATATATGCACATACACTATACATATAGTTACATAGTATAACTTTTTTAAAAACTCAAAGTTTGGGCTTAGATGCTGGCCAACTCTCAAAGTTACAGTTTGAGCATGATCTGGTATCCGATGCATAACCAACCCCTTGATTTCTGCCATGGGATTTGCCTTAACATAGTCAATTGTAACTGCTTCCTTTCTTTTATCAATTTTTAAGGAATGACTGATGACACTTAACACACATACCTGAACTTATCCTTCCAAATGAGTATTGTCTTTAAATTCCTTTAGGATATATTTTGATAAATTATGAATAAGTGACATGAAAGTACCTATGAAAATCTGATTTAGAACTGGCACCAAGAGTGGGATTTTTTGTATTAAAGTTTACCACATTGTTTGTTGTTGCATTTAACCACTTGTCAAAAATAGAGGACGGTTAAGATTTCATATTTATAACAATGCCATGTAAAAACCCCAGTAATTAAGTTGTAACATTTTAAATAAGTTTGTATACCCCAAACATCATAATTTGGTAAGAAATAGATAAATGAAATAAATTTTCATAATTAATAAGCTATATACTTTTAACTGTTTAGGTTGACAGTTACGTTAATATAACTGAAGTATCTCCTCACCTAGGCATTAACAGATCAACAACAGTTTGGTAAAGCTGATGAAATGTATGATAAATGTATTGACTTGGAACCAGATAATGCCACAACATATGTTCATAAAGGGTATGTATTTTTGTGGTTCTGTTTGTTCCAGTAAGAAACTAAATTTCTTGCATAGTAATAAGATGGATTTCTTTTTGTCATTGAGGAAGGGTACTGTGGTATAGTGTATCAGTGAGTTAATTTACAAATTTAATAATGCTGTGGATGCTTCACTGTTTTTTAAAATTTTACTTGTTTCATTCTTGTATAGCAATTAATAAATGTACTATTTCACTTTAGCTTAAGGGTTTCAGTTCTGAACATCCTTTCAGATGTTACCTGTGTCAGAATAGAAAACATGTAAGATAAGTTTTTTGTGTACTTAAATTATCATAAAAAAGAAACTTCACTTAAATTTATACAAAGTAATAAATTAAGTTTACAAGGTAAATTAGTAATAGATCCCAGACTGTTGGACACTTTCTTCTTTCTTTTTTTATTGAGGTACAGTTGACATACGATATTATACTAGTTTCAAGTATTCAACGTAATGATTCAGTATTTATATTGTGAAATGACCACAATAAGTCTAATGTCATTATACATGTTTTTTCTTTTAATGAGAACTTTTAAGATCTACTGTCTTAGCAACTTTCAAATATACAGTATAGTATTATTAACTATAGTTGACATGATTTGCTTATTTTATAACTAGAAGTTTTTACCTTTTGACTCCTTTCAGCCATTTCACCCACCCCTTGCCCCCCTGCCTCTGACAACCATTACAGTGTTCTGTGTATGAGTAGGTTTATTGGTTAGTTTTTTTTAGAACCTACATACAAATGAGATCATACAGTATTTGACTTTCTGTGTGAGTTATTTCATTTAGCCTAATGACCTCAAGGTACATCCATGTTGTTGCAAATGGCAGGATTCCTTTTTTTATGGCTTAGTAATATTCCTCCGCATGAGCTGTGTGTATGTACACACTTAGGTTGTTTCCATTGACACTTTTCATAACAAGGAATTTAGAATACAAAACAGATATAAGTTGAGAAATAAAAAACAATTTGTTGGTTATGTACTGTTTTAGGTTTTGTTTTTCCTCTTGTAAATAAAATGATAAATTCATTGAGGGCAGAAATTGAGTCACACACTTATTTCCTTGTTGCTGCTGGCCCATGGTCAATCTGACTGCCTTTTTGCATTTGCAGTTTACTTCAACTTCAGTGGAAGCAAGATCTGGATAGAGGTTTGGAGCTTATCAGCAAAGCTATTGAAATTGACAGTAAATGTGATTTTGCCTATGAAACTATGGGAACTATTGAAGTGCAAAGGTAACTTCCAAAGTCTGTTCTTAGGAAATTTAACGCCGCTCCATAGATATTGTCTTTTCATTTTTCTCATTACAGATATGTTATTGTTAGTACCCACTAAGTTTTTAAGTCTTAATATGTTACACTTTTTGACACAAGCTTCTCTCAAAACTATACTTTTGTTCGCCTGTTGTTATTTTTTCAATTTAAAAGTCACACTTACAAAAGTTGTTTAAGTCAGACACATGTTTTACAAAGGAAGACTTGATCTTCTTCTGATTCCTCTTGAGTGTCCTTCCTCTTTTCAACTGGATCACTCCCATTGGAGATGGCCTGTGGGGAGCTTAGGCAGCGCAGAGCACAGGGATTGGTAGCCAGGTCGCTAGATTCTGCTCCAGAGAAGCAGTCAGCCTAGTGACCGGCAAGTTGCAACATCATCTCTTAGCCTGAGTTTTCTTTAAAATCAGGGAGGTGGGTAAGATTTTTTGCAACTCTGACTTTTCTTAACTCCCTGTTTTGTGTAAATGTTTACCCAGAGTTGCACACTTGAGATCCACCATTAACAGGTGACAGCTTTTTGTGCCATAGAATTCAGTATAGTAGACCATCTTAACACTGGAATTGCCATCCACTTGAGTACCTACTCTGTGGCCAGGTACTGAACGTTAAGTGTTTTCCACATATTATTTCAGTTGATCTTTACACCAATCTTTATAATTGGAAGGTGGAGATTATATGATCCCCAGTGTAAATAATGAGTATAGGAACTGATGCCCCGATTGGTTGACAAGGTTACACAGTGAGCCAAGTAGATAGGATATGAGCCCATATTTCACTGATACCAAAGTAACTGCTGTTGCTACTTTGCTTGTCAGGAACCAGTAGTTCCCCTAATTCCATCATCAGCCCCTCCTGGGCGCTCTGTCTGCTCCAGAGTAGGCAGAATATATATGCAGGCCAACGAGAGCTTTTGTGGTTCTTTTGAACCAGTCTGTACTGACTGTTGCACGTAAATATTAATTTAATTGCCAGTTTGTTAATGTGAATAAAATATTCTTGTATTAGAATAGGATAGGGTAGCATTCTTAATCTCTTTTGAGCAAACCTGTGGATTTTTCTTAGAACAATGCACGTATAAAAACACTTTGCATTTAAGTTGTTCATAGATTCTGGGATAAGGACCCCTAAATTATGTGGTTTGATGGATTTTATTTACATATTAATTGTACTTTAAGAAATTCTTTCTAAATCCTGCCCTATAAATAAATACATGTGACTGGATGAGTGAAATTGCTGAATACCCTAGGATTTAGCAAAGCTGCTGTCTACCTAATATCTGAATTCTTCTTGTTGTTGTTAATAAATCTATCCTGTAGTCGGTCATCTGTTGTAGTAGGAGGCTAATCACCCCAGAGGTACACTGTCCTTTTTAGTCTAACTGGCATATATATACAGTAGGGGCTTAATAAATATTTATTGTAAGGTTATATGCATGTATGCCTATATACATAGCTAATACTAGTTACTTAACACAGTTCTTGGTTCTTGGTAAGTATACAAAGCCAAACCACACTTAGACTGTAAGAGGTGAATTATATTTTTTGACCAAGCGTATTCTCACCCTTTACTCAAAAATCAGATACTAATTACCAGACATCATACTAGGTTCTAGAAATTGAAGGTTGTCCGTTAAGGCTCTAAGACTGTGGTATAAACAAATACATATTTATCTGACTGTGCATAGAATGACAACAGAACTATGGGAACACTGGGTAGGGGTTGGGAAATTGTTTTAATGAAAATACTATATTTGAACTGTGCCTTAGGAAGGTGAGGATTTGACTAGAATCAAGCAGAGAGGCGATATCTCATCATGTGCAGGTATGGGTGTATATATAGCACAGTCCAGGGACTGGAGTAGAGGTACGTAGGATGGAGATGTGGTAAGAGGTGAGGTGGAAGGAAGGTCAGGACCCTGAGTGCCATTACTGTTCTGTGAGGCTGTCACTTATTTTTAGAGGAGCTTCACGATACAGGAGAAGCACTTAGCCCTTAGGAACCAGACAGGAAGATTGTAAACAAGTCATCTAATTTCTCTACTCTCACTGTTCTTATCTGTAAAATAAGACTACAAGAGTTATAATAATCAGCACAGTATTTGTAATCATTGCTAGCACCCATTGAGCACTTTCCATGTGCATTGTTTTGTTATAAAGAAGCATATTATTGGAAACTTACTGGTCAGGCTCCATGTAACATCACTAACTTACTTCACTGTATCTGTGAGGTGCTTATTGAATGAAATGTTTAAAATTTTTGTTTTTTTAGAGGAAACATGGAGAAAGCCATTGACATGTTCAACAAAGCTATTAACCTGGCCAAATCGGAAATGGAGATGGCTCATCTGTACTCACTCTGTGATGCAGCCCATGCCCAGACGGAAGTTGCAAAGAAATACGGATTAAAACCACCAACATTATAATTATAAAATAGGGGGAGGGAACATGACCCTCTTTTTAGAAGAAGTTTACCCCCCTCTTCAACTGAACCCTAAAGACACTGTCATGAACTGTGTTGGATGGTGGAACTTAGTGTTTCCTGTTTGTGCTGCTGTCATTTGTTACATCTCTTTCACGTTTAGGTGTTGTGGGAGTGGCTGTTGAAGGAAGTGTGCAGTGTTGCAGCTTTTATTCCCTGTGCAACAAAAGCTTAGGACCTGTTAAAGGGTTATTAAAATAAAGTTGCAAAGAGTACAAATGATAATTGGCCATGCAAATAAAAACTCTGATTTGTTAATTTGGCTTTTTTTTCTGGGGGAGGGGGGGATGATTACGTTCTGGATGATTTTGTCTGTGTGTATGTGTAATATAAGTATTTTACAGCATGTTGGTTTTTAAATTAACAGAGTAAGTGTTGTAAAATAGGTTTCTTTTAGATTTAATTAATCCCTTTTAGTTGATTTTTTAAAAAAGGAAACAAAGCCTAAATGGGGATTTTTTTAAGGCAGCAAAATTAAGAGCCCCTTTAAACTATTGTCTGCATGCACAATGCCTCTAGTTCTGCAGAACGTAGACTCAGTGGCAACCGTTAAGCCTTTGACCCCCCTTCAACTCTAATGGATAATGTACATTGTTCTTAAAGTCCACAGCAGCTGGTTTTCATAGTCAATTATGCAGAAGCAAATATTCTGATTGATATATGTGCTGGAAGACTGAGTAAACAGGAGAATGGACCAGGTGAGAGGTAAGGTGAAAAGGAAACGTGTTTTTAATTGCCCACGTAGTTTTCTTAATAGTGTCCTTTTTAAAGAAAAAGCAGTTTGATCGTATGTATAAAGATGGAGTGTGATACGTGAGAGTGTTTAATAGCTTAAAATTTCTAATGAAAATGTGGCTAAAGGTTCAAAAAGGATGTAATTCTTAGTGCCAGAAGCATAGCATTTTCTAAGTTTAGTGCTTCGACTATGGCTAAATGTGCTTAAGGAATTTTGAGCCAGTTTTTTCTGAGACGCTGAGGACCTGTGAGTGCTTTTTACTTTTGAGTTAAACTTAAGTCTCTCAGGCTGGCTGACTGCCCACGTCCAAGTCTTCACTAGGATACTGACAGCAGACTTTTGTTTTGTACATTTTATCTTTACCTTACCCTCTTATTTAGAAATCACTTTCTTTTTTCTGGTTGTCACTTTTATGGACCATCCTTTTGCTTATATGCTGCATTTTTCTGGTGGCCATGTTCTTAAGGGGTCTCTTGTTTTGAGGTACTCAGGCTGGGGAGAGGTTTATTTAAGCCTGAGAATAAAAAAACATCCAAACATTAAGCGTTTATTTTACTTTCCTGGAAATGAAATCTAACTAGAGTTTACATTGTTGGGAATAAAGGAACATATTACCCCTCTTTTTAAAGGGTGCTTTATCCTATTGAAACCAAAAAGATTGTCTATAAATGCTATCTTTTTAGAAAATACTAGAAATGACTCCCTTCCAAAGTCAGAGTCTGGAAAATACTGAGGGGTCTCATGATAGTGGGGGCAGCTAATATAACTGGTGACTCGGATAATGGAAAGTATGAGAACTCTGCATTTTATTTCTTAGATGATGCTCCTACGATAACCCCGGAATACAGAAATGTTCTACATCTCTGAGTAACCTGTGATTAAAAAGTTTTTATTTGCATGGCTTTATTTACATTAACACTGATATTTTCTTCTCCTCTTCTCCATTTCTACCCCATGGGGTTGAGTGGAAAAATACAAAGGAAACTGAAGCATGTGCCATTCAATACTGTCATTCCAAATCCTCATGGACAAATTGCCTGTTCTGAAAAATATTTGAGCCTGCACTGAGAGCTGCATCTGTCTGTATCTTTACTTTTGTAAATGACCTCACATGTAAATTCACCAAATAAATATTACATTCAAGCTTTTCTATCTATTCTTGAAGTCTATTTGCAAGCCATAATACACTGATAGAATGACGGTCCCCCAAACGATAGCTGCATCCTGACCCCTGGAACCTGTGATTCTTTATACGACTAAGCTTTGCAGACATTCAGTTAAGAGTCTTGAGCTGGAAAAACTATCTTGGATTATGGAGAATTTACAGCTTGGGTGCCAAAAGTTATATACAATTTGATGTGGAAATACAGACTAGAATAACAAATTCCTCTAGGACTTGAGGAATAAATAGGACTTACGTAGGGATCTTCTGTTAGATAGGGAAACAGCTCAGGTATCATGAGTCTGTGCTGAAAATAAGCTGAGTCCAGCAAAATAAGTTTTTTTTCAACTGGTGAAGAGACAGCAAAATGGAACTACATGCTTGAGAATTAGCATATATTTAAGACCATATATGTAGATGAGATTACTTCAGGACAAAATTAAAATTTAAAAGGGTAAAAATAAAACTCGGAAACATCTAAGGGGCAAAGGTAGCAATGAAAAAGTAGAGGGCTAATGGGACCACAGTGACGTTAGGTTTCAGAGAAGCAAAATAGGTCTGTAAATAGGGCTTTAGTCATCTTTGACAGGGAAGTGTCATTGGAATGGTGACGGCAGAATTGGGCTGCAGGCATCTGAAAAGTAACTGATGGGGAAAAAGTTTTTTACAGGATGGCATGGTTTTTGTTTTGAGGGAGAAACTTTGAGAATGAATCTACAGACAATAGTAGTAAGAACAGTTGAGCCCTGGCCGGTGTGGCTCAGTTGCCTGGGTGTTGATTCCCAATCAGGGCACGTGCCTGGGTTGTGAGCTCCATCCTGGGTAGGAGGTGCACAGGAGGCAGCCAATCAATGTGTCACTCTGATATTGATGTTCCTGTCCCTTTCTCTTAAAACATCTAAAAAAACAGTTGAGCACAAAGGAATACATTTGTAGACTTTAAAGTATTTCAGGAAGAGGCACATTCACAACACTTTGCCCACCATGCTCCATTCTTCCAGATTCTTGCTCATTTGGTGAGTTTTGAACTAGATATGAAGTAATCATTGAGCAAGTATCCTTGTATGTATGTGTTTTAAGTTATCTGACTGTAGATCTGGGGCTTAATGTCTTAATTCCTGATTTTAACTACCACTTTATCCTAAAGTGCTTCTCTTCCAACAACTACCTTTACCGCCAATCTTTACCCCCAAAAAAACCAGTTGAATGAAGATGATAATTTGACAAGAAACATGAAACTGCAACACAAAGGTAAGGCACAAAGGAGAAAAGTCCATATGTGTGTGGTCAGTCAGTGCAAGCATCACAGAAGGCACATCTCCCTTTCCATCCCTGGCCTCATAACACCCTCTCTCCACCAAACCTATCCAGGTGTTTAAGAGGCAGCATGAAAGATTAAACTAAGCCAGTAGAGCACTGTTTTAACCTAAACTCTTCTCTAAGCCCTTTTCACTTGGTATACTTTGCACAGATCTAACTTTTGGTGGCAGCAAGGAGTCCTTCCCTAAAAATCCACTTGATGTCGCTAAGTCATTTAAAACCCTGTAATGTTAGTAATTTCATTTTCAACCAACACAACACCAATTACCTGTTAGCTCTCAACTTCAAATCGCTGGGTCAAAGTCAAGCAGCACACCCTGCTACACTTTACATCATCATCCCTGTAAGGGAGTCACTTCAATTAGCTAATGTGTTATCTAAACTGCAAATAACAGATTCCAACATGCAATGGCAGACTTCAGCATACTCAAAAAGAGCACTGCCTAACTTATTAGGAAGTCGGGGAGTACAGGGCGATGAGTTAAATCATCTTCATGGCTTTAGACTGCAATGTTCTACCACTTCAATTGGACCAAATTCAGAGTTCATTTTGCTCAGCTATCACACTCTTAAAGGTGAAATCAAGGCCCATGTTGAGGAACAATGGATTTTGACACCAGGAATGCAAACCAGTGAGTGTTGCAAGGGGGGGAAAAAGGTGAATCTAGAATTCTATAATCAGTAAAAATGGCTTCTAAAAAATGAGGCAAAATTAAAACTTTATCAGGCACACTAAAGCTGAAAAGCAATCACCAAGCAGACCTACATTACAAGAAATGTTAAAGGAAGTTCAAGGAGAAGGAAAATGAATCTACACAAAATAATGAGTATTAGAGATGGTAAATATGTTGGTACAGATAAGACATTTAAAAGCTTTTTGAAAAATTACTAGCTGTTCAAAAATAGATTATGGGGTTCATCCATGTGTTGAAATATGACAATACAGAGGGAGGGGTGAATGAAGTATACAACTAAAATTTTTACATGTCAATTGGTAGGTATGTACCTGAGGGAACACTAATATGCTAAAAATGTATACTATAAGCAGTAAAGCAATAAAATAACAAAGAATTAGTTTATAAACCAATAAAGTAGATAAAGTGAATCATAAAATGATATTCAGTTGATTCAAGAGACAGAAGGAAAAAGGAAACAAATGGGATAAAGACAAAACAGAAAGATGGTATATTTAAATCCATATCAATAAGCACATTGAGCATAATTGGTCTAAGCACACCAAGTAAAAGGCAGAGATTGTCAAACTGGATAAAAATGCATGGCCCAGATGTATCCTGCATAAAAGAAATCCAGTTTAAATGTGAAGGCACAAGTAGGTTAAAATTAAAAGGATGGAACATCAGCATCATAGTGGAGAGAATGCCATTGTTTCTCCCCTTAAATTTACAAGTCAAACAGCTAAACAAAGGATCCTCTACTCCACAAACACCTGAAAGATCCACACATTGGAACATACGAAGGTGGGTGTATTGAAATGCGTAGGGGAGGCAGGACAAGGGAAGGACCGATAGTGGCTGCTGACATAGTTCAGTACCAACCATGGCTCCAGTGAGCATGGTAGCAGTGGAGAAGCCAGGCTGTAGTTCTTAAACTAGGCCTGAAGTGTAAGGGGCAGAAGCACTTTCCCTCCAAGAAAAGGCATTCCCCTTCCTCTTCACTGGGACAGAGCCAAGGGGAGGTGGCTGGTAAGCTTAAACAAAACAGCAGTGCCACTGCTGATACAGCCTTTGTTAAGGGGAGGAGGAAGGGTGGAGGCACAAGACTCTTAATTTGCCTCCTGTGCCCGACACTCTGGCAGGACCTAGTAAAAAAAGCTGAGATATCCCAGACAGCATAGTGAAAAGAAAGTACCCTACCTGTCAACCTGCTGAATTAAGAGCAAGAAACTATCTAAACATGAAAAGAGTACTACTTCGAATGCGCAGGTAGAAAATAATCCATCAGATACCATGAACAGCCATGATAACTTGGAGGCACAGAAAGAAAAGGAAAATCTCCAGAAACTCAAAGCAATGGAAGATGGTATTTTAAGTATGTTTTGTATTGATTTCAGACAGAGGAAGGGAGGCAGAGAGAGAGAAAAACATCAATGATGAGAGAGTCACTGAACAGCTGCCTCCTGCACACCCCCTACTGGGGATCTAGCCCGCGACCTGGGAATGTACACTGACCAGGAATCGAACCATGACGACCAAGCAGGAAGACAGTGTTTAAAATAACAGAGAATTCAAGGTTACAGTTATAAAGAAACCACAATATACAAGAAAACTCAGAAATCAGTTCAAAGAGCTCAGGAATAAAATTAATGAACAAAAGAAGTCCTTTACCAAAGAGACTAAAACTATAAAAAATGAACCAAACAAAAATTCTGGAGTTGATGACCTCAATAAAGGAAATGAATCCACCAGAGAGTACTGGAAACAGAGCAGACCAGACGTAACAGAGAATTAGTGAACCTGAAGACAGAAACCTAGACATGACTCAGGAGGAAGGAGAGAGAGAACTAAGTTAAAACAATAAAAGACCTCTGTGTGAACCAAGTTACTACATTAGAAAGAGCAACATAAGGGGCTGTGGACTGTGGGCCACTAGGGGTCAGTGAAGGATCTCAACATGGCTGGGCGAAAACTTGTTCGAAGAGCCATTGACTGGGTAGCTTTCGGGGAGATCACACCCTGAGACCAGAAGGCCATTGCTAACTCCCTGAAATCCTGGAATGAGACCCTTACCTCCAGGTTGGCTACTCTACCTGAGAATCTACCCACTATTAACAGCTTACTACAAGGCAATGTAGCAAAGGCCAGCTTGCAGATGACTTTGAGAAACTTAATGCCCTGAAGGTTCTGGTGCCAGAGGATAAGTATAGTGTCCTGGTGGATGCTGAAGAAAAAAAAATATGTGAAAAGCTGTGCTGAGTTTTTGTCTCTCAAAGACCAGAATTGAGCAATATGAGATAGAGCTGGAGAAGATGAAGAACTTTTATTTGATCAGATGATCATTGAGGATTTGAGTGAAGTCTTCCAGAAACCAAATTAGACAAGAAGTATTCCTACTGGCTTCACAAGCCAATTGAGAGTTTATGAACTTGAGTCTGGGAGAAAGTTCTGGCTCTTGTATTAACACATTGTATGCGGGAAACGTATTTATACGTTTTACGTTGACTGGTAGTAGAGCGCGCGATAAAAACTACCTGCAAACAATGTGTTACAGACTCTGGACATTAAAAATAATAATATAGTACAAAAAAAGGAGCAACATAAGGATAATAGGTAAGCCAGATGGAGAAGCAAGGGAGAAAGGAACAGAAGGCCCACTCAAAGAAATTGATGAGGACTACCCTATGGAAAGAACTGAACTCTTGAATAGAGGGAGCTAACAGAACACTTAATTGCAGCAATGCATAAAGATGTTCATCAAGACATTTTATTCAGACTGTCAAAATAAATGACAAAGAATTCTCAAGGCTGCCAGGAAAAAAAAGACTATAACTTACAAAGGAAACCCCATTTGAGTATCATAAGATTTCTCAGTAGAACATCATAAGACAGGAGTGGAAGGAAATATTCAAAATATTGAAAGATAGGAACCATCAGTCAAAGATAATATACCCAGCAAAGGTATCCTTTAGATATGAAGGCAAAATAAAGGCTTTCCTAGACAAAAAACTCAGAGCATTTACCACCAAGAGACCTGCACTACAAGGATTGTTAAAAGGAGCTCATCTACTGGAAACAGACAAAATTATACAAAGCTTTGAGTAAGATGACTTACAGACAGAAGCAGAAAACTACAAATCTTTTTCAGAGTAGGATATTAAGCAGTTATACCAAAGGGGGCATTAAAAATTACTCTAATTTGGTAATGAATGCACAAATAAAAAGGAATAATTTGTGACAACAAAATAAAAAGGGAGGCGGAAGAGAACTGAATGGTTACATACGATGGAAGATAATTGGTAATCAAAAGAAAAACGACTATTGTATGTATGAGACATTTTACATAAACCTAATGGTAATCACAAAACAAAAATACAGAGCTGAGGCGCATGACATAAAAAAAGAGGGAACAGAAAAAAGCATACAACGCTGCCAAACCGAAACAGCAGACAGAATCACAAGGGGAAAAACAACGAAGATGCAGAGCAACCAGAAAACAAAAGATCAAATGGCTGTAGTAAGTCCTCATATATCAACAATCACCCACAATGTAAACTGACTGAACTCACAAATCAAAAAGGCAGAGTAGCAGGATGGATTAAAAAACAAGACCCAACTATATGGTGCCTGCAGGAGACTCACTCAGCTCCAAACACAGACTGAAAGTGAAGGGGTGGAAAGTGATACTCCAAGCAAAGGCGTCCAGAGAAAAGCAGGTGTACTACCACTTATACCAGACAGAATGGATTTCAAGATTTAAAAAGGTAAGGTGTTAATATCCAAAGTTTATAAACAACTAATACAACTCAATACCAAAAAACCCCAAACAATCCAACTAAAAAATGGGCAGAGGACTTGAACAGACACTTCTCCAGAGCGAATATACAGATAGCCAACACACACATGAAAAGATGCTCAATGTCACTAATCATTAGAGAAATGAAATTAAAACCACAATGAGATACAAACCTCAGTTGTTGAACATCTCTCATCTTGAACAATTTGTTTTTTTTATTTTTTTAAAAAATATATCTTTATTGATTTCAGAGAGAGGAAAGGAGAGGGGGGGAGAGAGAGAGAAACATCAATGATGAGAGAGTTACTGATCGGCTGCCTCCTGCACACCCCTGACTGGGGATCGAGCCAGCAACCCGGGCATGTGCCCTGACCGGGAATCGAACCCCGACTGCCTGGATTCTCAGTCGACGCTCAACTGCTAAGCCACGCCTGGCCAAGCATCAAACAATTCAGTTCTTGACCAAGTTGTTCACAAAAAAAAATATCTAGATTGTGGAAAAAAACTTCAGTTTTTGACCCGACAACCCTTTCATGCTGATACCTCAGCATGATTAAAAGGTCTCTCGGGCAACAACGAGAGGAGAATGCTTTTGCTGCTGGCGAAATCGACAACTAGCACAATTTTAAAACACAGAGGATATCAAATGTGCTAATGTTGCTAAGGGTGTGAAAGTGCTCACGAAAACAACCATCACAGGCAACTAAAGAGGCAGAAAAACTGTTGTTGATTTGGATAAACAAAAAGCAGTTAGCTGGTGACAGCATTCTGGAGGCAGTGATATGGGGAAAAGCAAAGGTGCTGCATGCAGACTTCCTCAAAGACAGCCCTGGAATGAGCATTGAAACTGATCTGTTTAAGACTATTAGGGGATGGTTTGATACATTTAAGAAAAGTGTTTGTTTACAGATTAAACAGTACATTAGACTTGTACTGTATGTAAGAAAGGTTAAAACAGGAAATACAAATTAAAACCACAATGAAACAAACATTATATGCCCATTAAAATGGATGAAATTAAAAAGACTAATCATACCAAGTGTTGGTGAGGATGTGGAGCACACTGGGACTCTGACAGACTGCTGGTAGTGATGTATAATGGCACAATCACTTTAAAAAGTTTGGCAGTGAAACACACATATGACCCCACCATTTCATTCCACTCCTAGAAATCTATCTCAAGAGAAATGAACAACTTGCACAAGAAGCTTTATTTGTAATAGCCAAAAACTGGAAACTCGAATGCTTATCAACAGGTGGAGAAATGATGGTATATCCATACAACCAACTACTTGCTCAGCAATAAAAAAGGAATGAATTACTGATGCACATACGGATAAATCTCTAAATGATGATGAAGGACAAATTAAAAAGCACATATATGGTATGAGTCATTTTTATATTAATTCTAAAAATTCAAACTAATCTATAGTGACAAAGCCAATCAGTAATTGCCTGGGAACAAGACGTATAGCTAGAGAAATTACAAAAGAGAACAAGGAATCTTTTAGGGGGGGGTGGGTATTTTCATTACCTTGATTAAAGGGGTTCATGGATGTATACATGTGTCATATGGTGCACATCTATTCCCAGTTCTGTGTGTAGAGGTGTCATATTGATATAGACAGAACTTGGCTATCATGGAAGTATTTACACCATAGAAACTGGCAAATGCTACCACAGAATCACTTTTTTTCTCAGACAGCTGATTGTTAAAACCTTTACCAGCCCACTGCTAACATAAACAACAGCTCACTGAAATTCTTAATTTTTAATTGTGCAAAAGAATTCTGAGAACCACTAGGCTAAAAACTTGCCTTTATCAAGGTAGAAAGTATTACTAGGAGAAAAAAACAAGGGGGGCCTTTTCAGATACTTTCTCCCATCAAGAAAAGCTCTTTTTTCCCTGGCTGGTGTGTCTAAGTTGGCTGGGCATTGTCCTGTGCACCAAAAGGTTGCTGGTTTGATTCCCAGTCAGCGCACATGCCTGGGTTGTGGGCTTGATCCCAGCAGGAGGATGGGGGATGTGCAGTAGGCAGCCAATCAATGTTTCACTCTCACATTGATGCTTCTCTAAAAATCAATAAAAAATCTTTTAAAAAAACACCGCAAAAAACTCTTCTGCAGAGACATATCTTAGTTGCCTGACCAAATGTTGCCACTGCCATCCTCCCACAGGGCTCACTGTTGACACAGGATTTCCCCTAAGACCAGGAGGGTTAGCTCCTTGAAGGCTCACACAGGGGCTGCCATCTCCTCTAGCGAACACCGAGGATCCATCGCCTTGCTTCCCACAGCTACTGACAGACGAAAAACGTAACTTTAAGGTACTGCTGGAAAAAGAGCATACCCGTTTTCTACATAACAGATTCCAATTCCAACAATGAGATAAGAAATTTATGACACAAATGCATTTGTATCAGGTGAATCAACCACCAGAATATCCAAATCTGGTACTTTTACCAACTTCTCTAAGGCAATTTCAATACGGAATAAGGTTTAGCGCCAGCCCCTCCCCTTTCTGCTCTTCAGTGCCAGCCTGAGTCCTTTCTGACTGCTTAACAAGGTGTGGAGAGTACCAGTGTGCTGCAGTTCCACAATCTCAACACAGTTCCTGGGAAGGGAAGGCTAAAATAAAAAATAAAAAAAAAGGATCCCCATGAAAGAATTCAGCAGGGAATTGATGTTGCAGACATGTGTCTTTCTATTTCGTGACATGATGGAAACATAAACCTTAGGGCTTTTTCGCCTCCACTGCATAGAGGTCTGATCGCTTCTGGCTAAAAATGGGGATTTGCTGGCGTATTTCAGCCACCTTCTTCAAGTCTGCAAAAACAGGAAAGTTCACCATTAATAAGATGTAACTCTTCACTAACCAAAGGGATTTCCCCCGCAAACAGTGTAAAAACCACCAGAGCCTCAGCAAGTAATACAGGCCTTGTCTGGAGGCACAGATGGCCTGGCATGGCCCCTGGAGTCACTTCAAACCAAAAACACTCAAGCTGGACTATAGCCCTCAGGACTTGGCCAAGAACCAAGGATAAACGGGGTATGGGATGAGGGGGGAGAGACATGGAGGCAAAGGGGCCCCTCTATGTGACGGGCTGCACCAGCTATGGAATCTGGCCTCAGGGCATTGGGGACTCCAGTCACCTAACCTGGGCTGGGGCTACCAGACCTTACCTATGTCTGAATACACGATCGTTTCTTCAGTGCCAGCTTTGGCGAGGATCTCCCCCCTGAAAAAGATTCAGGGCAGAATGAGTGGGTTCATTGACCTTTGCTGACATTCAAGACCTCTCTGTTTTTCCTCCCCATTTAACAGGCCAAAGGGCAAGGAATCTGAGGTTTAAAACCAGAAAGTAGGGGTAGAAAGTCCTGTTCTACCATTTAAGTAGCTGTGTGGCTCTCGGCCAAGTCATTTGTAATCTCCATTTATAAAGTGGAAATAAGAGCCCTGTTAGGACTTAGTGAGAAAATGATGAATTATGTTTTCTAAACTACAAACTCCTAGTTTCTTATTCCATGATATAAACATCTGGGAACAGAGCCACCTATAACCAACAGGAGGTGCCATCCTACCCCTCATGAGTTCATGCCAATAGGAGCCCTTTGCAAGGACGGTCTGGTTCTGCATCCTCACACCTCCCAAGGCTGCTCCCCAATCCTGGGATGGGGAGGCAGGGCCTGGGCTCGACCCAGATCTGCGTGGACCTCTGGTCTTGCGCCTGTGACCCCCGCATCCCTATGTTAATGAATGGCCTTCAGGTTTTCAAGGAAAGGTTTCAACCTGTGGGGTCTGAGAATAAGTGCTGGGAAACCACACCCGGCAGGAGCCCCATACTTGGAAACAGCAACACTCCTTCATGAGTCTGGGGAAAGGCTGATCTGGAAAACTACTTCCCTGCTGTGTCTCCTGGCATAAGCAGGGCTTCAAGCACATGCCTAGAGAAATGCAGTCTCTCCAAAGTGCAAAACAAAGTAACCTGACGTAACAAAGTCTGACATAGTAACTGCTTTTGTTTATACCAGATTGATACAAACAGATTTGGCACAAATGAGCTACAAACACAATTATTAATGCCATTTAATTGAATCCTTCTCTATTCTTTTCTCTTTCTTTCCTATTTGCCCCGGCATTCAAAGATCTCTATGTTAACTCCAGGCACCCATCCCAAAGTGGATATAAGTCAGAAGGCCCCCAAACCCTGCAGGTGGAATTCTGAAAAAGAAGAAATAAAGGTAAGTCGTATGCAGCTACTTCATGTCAGAAGCAGCCAGCTTGAGTGGTAACAGAGTTCACCAGAACTAGAGGCAAAGTAGTGATGCCCAAAAGATGTCATCACTAACATCTGGGCAGAGGAACATGAATCACATTTGAGAAAATTTTCAAGCCGACCTAATCCTTCCAGTTTCCCAATGCCCCCCAAATCCTAATGGGCAGGAGGCTGACTGGGAATCACTCACTGGTCATATTTTCCAGGTCTCTTCTTATCACACACTTGACTCTGTGGGTCCTATGATGTCAGAAGAGAGAACCTCTAGGGCCCCCACAGTGGTAAGTGACCCTTCTCAGTCTTGCTACTGGTATATTTATACTGAAATTGTAGAAATACATTTCTGTGTGTGTGTGTGTGTGTGTAAAATCATACAGCTGTATGGGAAATAGCATGGCATAAATCCAAGTTCTGAAGTCAAAATCCTGGATCCAAACACCAGCTGCAGCCATTTTAGCCTGTGAACTTCAATCCTACCATCTATAAACTGGGCTTACCAGAAGGTAAGTCCCTGGAGTTCAAACAGACCCCGTGTGTGAAAGCGCTGCGAGCTGCACAGGTAAGACCACGTACGTCCATCAGTGCAGACCATATTGTACATGGGCAGACTCCCGCGCTGGTCCCACTGAGCAGTAAAATGCTCTATCCCCTCACAGAGGACAAATTCAGTTTCCTTTAACTGAACCCATCCCTACCCCCCCCCCCAATTATTCTGGGAGAAAAATCCTCACCCTAGAACTCTTTCCTGCCCGAGGCCCAGTCACCCAGTCTACATTTAAGCAAATGCTGAGAGTTTGGGAGCCTGTTTTACTAAATCTGCCACCTGTCACGGCTGCCTTGTTTCCCCTCCGTGATCCAAGTCTGATTGACAGCAGAAACTCAGAAGAGGGCTAACAAACAGCCAGGAGGGCAGGACAGTTTCTTTCTCCCAGTTTTCAGGTGGAAGCTTCCTCACAGACAGAGGCAGGGACCTGGCACGCATGGGGGTTCTGGGGATGGGTGAGGGGCAGGGCCA